TGGCAGGTTCTGACGGAGAGATTTGATAAGGAAAATGTAGTACTGGAAAATCTGCAGGACAAAGGGAAACTGTTAACATTTAATTTATAAATTTTTAATGGCTACTTGCCCAGGTGAAGTTTCTGTCCTCTAGAGAGAACACCAAAGCCGGTAATTTATAGAGGCTGCTGTTGCTGCTGTGTACAGGCTGTGTGTTTGTATTGAGGAGTGATTCATTCTGAGTCATCAAAACAGGTTCCATGGCCTGTGGCAGTTACTGTTAAGCAAGTCTTGTCTGGCTCTTCACTTTGACAGGTATTTTACCATGAAGGTAACTCAAGTATCCGGTGGGGACTTAGGAGAATGAGCCTTGGGTACGAGTTAGCTCAATATGTCCTTTGCCAGAGTTGTCTTGGAGGCAGATGAGCTGTCTCCCAGGGTGTGCCTCTCTTTCCTCTGCCCTGGTAGGCACTGCAGAGGGCGTGTCAGCTGAGTTGAGAACACACACTTGTGGAGCAGACCAGGAAGCAGACTTGTCCCTAAGTGCAACAACATTCCATTTGTTGTCTCAACATCCTTAAACCAGTTTCATTTTCTTTCTGGGCTCATTTCCTGATGTTTGCAGGTGTTAAAAATATAAGTGGCGGTTTGCTGAAATGAAGAGGCACTTGTGGTTTTACTTTTAAATGATCCTGGGCATTTGCTGCCTCCTCCTGCCTTTTTTTTTTTTTTTTTTTTTTTTTTAATCTTGGAGAGAATGACCCTCATTTGGGCACCAAATAAAATACCTATCTTCTGGTTTGGTCTAGCCCTGCACCTCCCTTTCTGTTTTCAGGGGAAGAACACCAAAATTCCATGTTCTCCAACAGTTTTTGTTAAGGCAAGCTAATGTCCGCCCCCCCCCCAGCCCACAATCAGTCACAAAGCCTTTGTTTTCCGATTTAATCTTTTTTATATTTATCTCTGAGCTGAAACATCCTTGTGAATGACTCCAAATAAACTTCTTATATTATAAAATCAGCCTTTCTCGAGCCTTATTAATAAGAAATTTCATTTTAGAACCCTTGAAGTAATCATTAATTTGAGTGGATTAAGTGATGCACACAAACTATATACAGTCTCTTCAAACCTGCTTGGTCCAAGTTCAGATTTTTTTTTTTAAGAAAAGAAACAGTTCTTATATTTAGTTACCCAAACAGATGAGAATTTGTTGCTTAGAAAGACTAGTATATTTTTAAAGAATAAGTGTGGATAGTTAATACATTAGTGGTGTGTATATTAGAATCTGAATTTCCCTTCAGTGATGGAGGGGATAAGATACACAAGTAAATATTCCACGTGTCATGTGTGATGATGCCACAGCGAGGCAGGTGGAGGAGGAGGGGGGGTACGGACAGCACCTCAGTGAGAAGTGGTAGAGACAGAATGCACTAGGGAGTAGGAGGCACTGGTTCAGAAGGAGCGGCAGGTACACTCGGGGGCTTATTGGAGAGCTACCTGACTGGTGACTCTGTCCCTGGCACATGCTGTCGCAGAGTGCCACGTGGGTGCTGACAGCAAGCTCCCTGGTGACCTGAGGAAGTAAGGCAGCAAGGAAGAGACTTCCCAGCCAGCCCTTGGGAGAAAAAAGGAAGGGTTTGGTTGAGGCCCTGATACTCTCAAAGGGAGACAGGCCATGGACAGCAGTCAGGAGGACTGCTTCCCACCAGGGCTGAGAGAAAGGCCAGGTGCAAGCGAAGTCATTTCTTTATGTTTGGGTTGAATTCATATACAACCTTATGATAATTATCCTGAATATCTACAGGACATGGAAACACTTTTTGAAACACAATTTATCCTGACATAAGATGATCTAAATTTGATCAGGAATGATTTGGGGATTTCCTGAGACTCCCCTGCTTAGAAACCTTTAGCCATCAAAGCAACGTTTTGAGATGATCATCAGGAGTGAGTGCACAGGTTTTGGAGGGGAGAAGAAGGACTGGAAACAGAGGCACCAGTTAGAAGGACCGACTAAAACTGGTCAAATACTTGAAGATATAAAATTTAAAGGAGGTAGAGAGACAGACACACACACACACACAAACACACACAATGCATGCAGGTCAGGTAATCATTTCCCTGAATGGAAAAAACCAGGTAGGGGATAAGGAGTGATGAAAAGGAGGATGTTTTAGTTTTCTCAAGGTAACATTTGAGTACAGGCCTGAATGAAGGGAGGGAGCCTGCGCTGTGCCTGGGAAAACGCATCCCTACCTGAGCGCCCACCGGCGAGAAGGCTGGCTGCAGCGGCACGGGGAGAAGTGGAAGGGAGAGAGATGCTGTGTACCGGGGAGCATCTTGTAAGGACCCGAAGGCCTGACTCCAGCTATGATCAAAGTCACAGGGCAGTGCCTGCGTGTTCTGAAAAGGTCAGCAGGGTGGAGGGAGAGGCACAGGAGGCTGTGGCAGTCTCCCATGTCAGAGGCTGATGGCTCACTTGAGGCTCTGGCAGTGGTATGAGGTGGTGAGAAGTCGGATCCCACGCCTTTGGGAAGTAGAGCAAAGATTTGATGATAACTAGATGTAGATCGTGAGAGAAAGGATGGAATGAAGAATGCTTCCAGGGCCTGCCTATGGATTTGTGTGAATTAGAAAAGCCAGTTCTTCCTCTGGCGGAAGCACATCTCAGCGCCTTTGGGTGAAGAAGGCTCCCTTCTCAGATGCACCTGGGTGCTAGGACACTGGTGGGAAGAGCATGGGCTTTGTGCCCTTACTTGGCCCTGTGGCCAAGCATCCTTATAGAGAACTCAACCTGTATAAACAAATGCAGCAGCCCTAGGTGACTCCTAAGTTTTTGTCCTGAGCAGCTGGGTGAACTGTGGTGTCATCCCCAAATGGGAGGGGCCAGAAGAGGAACTGACTGTGGGTGGGAGAAGGCAGAGCAAATCAAGTTTGACTCTGGACGTGATAAGACTGAGATGCCTTTTAGACATCTCAAGGCAATGCCAAATCAGCAGGTGGATGGGAACTTCCACAGCTAAGACGAGGGGCTGTAGGTGGAGGCTGCTGATTTTGAGTTGGAAATGACAGCATGAAAATCAAGTGGAACTGCAGGGTCAGGGCTTGGGAACAGTGATTTAAAGATCTAAGTAGAAGTCGTTCTACCCAGAGGAATGCACGGGGGACATTATTGGGGAACAGGAACGATGGAGACTGCCTTTGGAGCATTATTAGTGGGAAGTGGGCAATGAATCTGCAAAGCAGCTAACAGGAGAGCGATCATGGTGGCACAGCATCATGGAAGGCAAGTTGTGGGCGAGTGGCGGGGGGTGGGGATGGGGTGAGAGGGAAGCAGCTCCAGAGGGCTGCAGGAGGTTTGAGAACACTGCTTCGATCTAACAGTGTGAAGGTGATTGGCAAGGCATAAGAGACTTTCAGAAAATAGTCATTGAAAGAGGGCACCCGTTGCGGCTTTTCAAAGTAGCATGAAGTGTCTGTATGAAGGCAGACATAAAGAAGACAGTAAAGGAGGGAGAAGTTGTAGATGCTAAAAAACAAAGGGGTAAGAGGGGGCAAGATTAGAAGCAGGCATTCTCCATATGAGTTGGGGAGAGAGAGATGAGACTTTTTTATCTCTTCAGTACAGTTGTAGTCAGGATCACCTATCTGTGTTAGAGATCACCACTAGTATTAAAGGCCTGAAGAAGATACAAAGGGAGCCAGTAAGAGAAAAAAAAAAAAAAAGTTGTGAAGCAGTAATCGGAGACCAGTCGGAAATAGGGAGAATCGTCTGCAGTAGCCAGTCAGTAGCCTGTGATTTCTGTGGCCCAGAAGCACAGAGGGACTTGACCCCACTGAAAGAGAAAGCAGTTAAGGCACCTGCCGGGGTGGGTCATAAACCAGAAGAGTGCATATCGAAGTCACGAGCTTAAAAAAAGAAGTGTATTTCCTTTCCCTAAAACGTACCCATTTGAGGCTTAGGAGTAGGACAACTAGAAGTGGGAGGCTTATGTTTTTAGAACATTCTGGGGAAAGCTCTTGTTGCACCCCTTTGAAAAAACTGTGCTGGGCTGTAGGGTTAGAGAGGACGGAGTGCATGGTACAGGCTGGGCAGGAGTCGGAAAGGGCAGCTGGTGGATTGGAGGTGGAGAGGAAGGTCTTTGGACGCGATTGAGAGCAGCACCACTGGTAAGCAGTAAGTTGTGGGGTGTGCTCAGCCAGGAAGACCAGGTTCCGGCACTGCAGAGCTTGGTAGAGCCCTTCCTGTGCTCATGAATATCCAAGAAGGGGGATTTGTTTGACGAACATATCTGACCGCAGGCAGGGCCTATAATCTAATGTAGCATCTCGCAGAGGAGTTTTCTGCACGGCACACTTTGAAAATGTTGCATTCAGTACATCCAGCAATGGTCCCGTCCAGCTGGTTTCAGAGTTTACAGGTTGTGGGAAAGGGAAGCCAGAGAGGGAAGGGAGAAGATCCAGTTTAAGATTTGGAAGTGTAGCTCCAGAGCTTTGTGGGATGCTGGGTCACTTTTCCATCCTTCCAATTAAACTGCTTTCTACCGCTGAGTCCAGGATCCGCTGAGTCATCAACATAAATGCTGAAGTTGCAAAGCGTAAGACAAAACTGGGAGTTTATGAAGTACTTTCAAACACTGAAAGTTGCATGAAGTCTTAGGAAAGCAGACCAAAATTCACTGGCCTCTAGGATAAGTAGCCTTTTCTTTTTGGCTGGAGTAACAAGACAGTGGACGCATGGCACTCAGTGGTGCCTTTGAAGTCTTGGAACACTTGCTGGTGACTTAACATTTTGGGAGTTGACCCACCTTTTAAGGAGAGATGGTGTCACAAGTTCTTAAGACTACCGCAGTTTGTACCTGGCCCGGGCACTGAATGGAAGACTTTCCAGAGAAGTACAGCCCTAGTCTCAGGTTTAAGATGATGACTAATAGATTTGCAAAGATGCCAGTGGCTTGGCAAGGACAGTGATTGTTGGCAGGGCTGAGGGCATTTGTGAGTGTAAGGCACGATTCTGTTTTAATAAAATGATGTGTGAGTTCTGTCACTGCTGACTTGTGTTGAGACGTGGCCCAGAGGGAAGGGTTCTAAACAACTTCTGGTTGCCCCAGTGGTGCGAATTTCACAGGTTGCAAGCTTCCATTCTTTTGTGACAACTGATATTTCATTCCCTCCCTCCTGTACCTTTCTTTTATTGAATTCTCCCTTACAATTCTCTGTGAAAAGAATACCACCACCCGTGTGGTCTCTTGGTTGAAGAAGCGTACATGAGCTGACCTTCTGTGTGTGATCTAGCTGAAGTGCTCAGAGCACATGAGAACCGCTGGTGACGGCTGTACATACAGGCTCCGTGTTTGTTTTCCCCTGTGGATATCTGAACTTTCTTTTCTTCACAGGTAAAGTCAGTGATCAACCTTTTGTTTGCTGCCTATACTGGAGATGTGTCTGCACTTCGAAGGTATGTGAACAGGGCGGATTAGCATGTGGGTTACAGCTGGGTTTGATGTTGCTGCTGGGTGAGCACTTCCGTTTCCCGCTAATAAAAATGACCAAAATAACATTTGTAATAAATCTCCAAGTCCAGAGCCTTAGCTTGCTCTCCTGTCCTGTCCTTTTCAACCTCCCGCTAAAGCCCACGATGCTTTTTTTCCCAAGTGGTAACTGTCTGACCAGTCTGGTTAGTGATCAGTGGTTTAGTGTGATTGGACAGTGCCTTGTTGCTCTCCATCTACCCGCTTGTTTGCCTCCATCTTTGGTAGGGAAGAGAAGTAAATAGGAGTGTCGCTCCCCCTCTTCGCGGAGGAACGACACAGGACCCTGTGTTGTTCTTTTGCCTGCTCGGCCCTCCCCGGGTTTGCTGCTGGTTCTTCCTGGGTTGGCTACCGTCCCTTCCACCTCCGTGGAGGGGTGGTTCCCCCTGCCACTTTCCCCACTTCCGCGGGGGAGCGGCACACCGCCGGCCGGCTCTCTCGGGGGCTGCTCAGCTGTTCCTTCAGATAGAGTTCCTGGTGCATGGTGTCTCTCTCCTCCTTTATAGTCCTCTTCCACCAATCCCAACTCTGCTACCCACACGCCAAGTACGCTGCTCTCCTCCAATCAGGAGCAGGTCCTGCAGCTTGTCAAGTTGGTGAGAGGCAGCTGTGCAGAAGCTGTTTACTCCTCTCCCAGCGCCATATTGTGGGAGAGCAGATGCATAGAATAAGTCTTAATTCCAGTAACTTAGTCTAGTCCGAGTTGCTCCCCACATAGGAGTGTTCAATGTCCTCTGGATCACCAGGATCGGAAAGGCTGTATACCACAGTAAGGTGTACCACAGTAAGCTGTATACCAGTCTAAGGTCTCTTGTACAGTAAGGCTGCAGCTGGCTTATTTTTCAGAGAGCGAGCAAGAGTGTGCATGTGTGCCGCCTTTTCCATCTGCTGCTTCACCCCCCACATGCCTGCAGCAGTTGAGCTGGGTCGGCCAAGCTGGGAGCTAGGAACTCAACTGTCTCCCACAAGGGTGGCAGGTTCCCAAGTACCCGAATCTCATTTTCTGCCCCTCAGGGTGCACATGAGCCGGAAGCTGGCGTTGAAAGCAGAGCTGGGACTAACCCTAGCACCCTAATTTTGGATGTGGGCACCTCAAGTGGGATCTTAACCATTGCACAAACGCCTGCCCTATAGCTGATCAAACTTTCAAGTGAAAAAATGTCTATGGTTAATTTCTACCCTTCATAAAAAGCCTGAATCTTACATGTAAACCATAGCCTATCAAATGTTAAAGAATGGGAGTCCTAGTGAACACACAGAAGTATACTACAGGTATTAATTTCTTGCCCTTCTGAGACATAAATTTTGGCATAGTTGTACCATTATTCTTGAGTTTTGAATAATAATATGAATGAAGTGTAGTTTGGTGAAAGATGGCTAACATTTCATCTTTCCCCCCAAAGTGCTTGGGTAAGGACAAGTCGGGAAATGGTATTTACCCAGGACACCTGTGTAGTGGTTGAACAGTTCTCTCATTACCACTAATGAGCCTGGTGAAGAATGACATCTGAGAGACTCTTAGCTTTAACCTATGGGGTAAATGTTGCAAGTGTGAATTAAATGTTATGTACTGATGAATAGCCATGCTTACAAATTTTCAGATTTGCTTTGTCAGCCATGGACATGGAACAGCGGGACTACGATTCTAGAACAGCACTCCACGTAGCTGCTGCAGAGGGTAATATGTGAACCACACATCCTATTTCTTTTTTTCAGGTTTAATTTCTACTCAATACTAAAATCTGCCCTTTTCTTTGGGGTGGGATGGGATATAGGTCACGTTGAAGTTGTTAAATTTTTGCTGGAAGCTTGCAAAGTAAACCCTTTCCCCAAGGACAGGTAAGAACTCACATTATCTTCTTAAATCACTGGCCAGTCAGTATGTCATTCTACAGAGCTGTGATATTGTTATGGCGTACTTAAATACACTAAGACATTTGTGAACCTGTTATGAAGTCAACAAGCAAAACCTTGTTCTGCTGCATAGATTCTGTCTCCCATATCCTATTTCTTAGTAAGAATGTTATCTTATTTGGAAATTTTCAGGTTGGTTTGACTGGCCTTCATATTTTGTAAAAGAAAAGGGTTCTTTGTGTTTGAAAAAGTAAAATGGGAATTTTGTCCACACAGGGCTCTCAGGTACACAAGGTAGATGAGGTAAATATTTAGAAGAGCATATACAAAATATGTAAGGGAACTGCTGTTAGAGAATGCTAAAATGAATATATTGGAATTTGTTCAAATTCCTGTATTTGAGTAGAATGTTTGTAAAGGCTTTGTGGAAGCGGAATTGTAATCGGTGCTTTGGGAAAGACAGGAGATTGGAAGGCACAAAAGGAGAAATTTGATCTCAGGGTGGGGGTGGGTGTGAAGGAGTGTTGTCTGTTCCTTTCCCTCCTGGTGATACTGATACTGGCTCACCCTGTGACAAATGAGGTCTTCAGGGGGCCAAGGCACGGGGCAGACTGTAGCTGAAGTGTAGAGGTGTACAACGAACTCTGTACTCACGTATTTGGACAATGTAAACTGGAGTGGACGAGTCACTGAATGAAATTAGAGCTTAGAAGAAAGGAAAAAAGTTTGCGTTTGCTTTTGGTATCTGAGACCTGGGAGCTGTATGAAGTTTGGAGCAAGTTGGTTCCTCTCTCTGAGTATTAAATAGCTTGAACTATTTTTGAATCAGGGCTTTCGTCTTTTGGTTCAGCAGGAAAGTTACGTGTCTGAGAGTTGCTGGCAATTTTTTAAGTGGTAACTTCTTGGTTATGTAGCTCTTCCTGTAGCTGTTTTAAAACTCTGTGATTAAAGTGGCCTTTTATTGCAGTATTCTAAAAAACCTCATGTCTGAGTCACAGTCCGGCCTCTTAGCCCCAGATGTAATGCCCAGCCCAGCTCTTTCTACAGCAAGAAACTGCAGAGTCCCTCCCACTGCCCTGCCCCAACCCTGTTTATAATCCCAGCTAAACACTGCGGGACACATGCTGGAAATGTTTACTGTGCTTTGTGTATCTGATTTTTTTTTTTTTTTTTTTGGCCATAAATTAGCCTGTAGGCATGTGGAAGTAGATGCAGCTGACAGGCAGAGTTGGTTAAGGAACTAATTTGGTAACTAGATAGTCAACTATTCCAACACGGAAGCTAAAGACCTAAGGTAATTTTTTGGAGGAGTATTTCATAGAATCATAGTCACCTAGAAGTATAACAGTAGCGCACATTTAGTGTATTCTTCTTCAAGTTGGCATTTTCATTATTTCATGGAAGACTTTTGAAAGAAGTAACTTGCACTCAGCATTCAATTTTTCCCCAAAGACAGATGATCACATGCTGTGGAGAAACTGTGGATTCCTTCAGCCCCCATGTCCCCAAACTAATGAATGCCCAAAAGGCCACTTAATTAGCTGGGGTGTTTTTGGAGAAACACATAGATATGTGTAACGTGTTACTTACCTGATTTGAAAAATTAAGAACAGGTTACCAAACTGTATCCAAAAATGCTAAAGATGACTTTTTAAAACTGATTCGTTCCATTCGATGACCCCCTTAAGAGGGCAGAAGGTTCAGGAGATGCTAAGCAGGAAAGGGAGGGAGAGCAGCAGGGAGGCAGACAGAGTGGGCGTGAGGCAGAGCTGCACGTACAGGGCGGGAGGGGAGGGAAGGGGAAGGATGTGGGGAGAAGACCGGCCTCACGGGATCCGGGATCCGTCATCTGCTGGGCTCTGAGTTTTATAGGGATGGCTGCTGTTGCTAAGGGCTTTGCTGACTAATCACTGCTGGCACTTCTTCAGTTCAAGTCTTCATCTCCAGCGCTCTACACAGCACGGCCCCAGCAGCACACTTAGGACGGGAAAGCACAGGAGTTCTCCCCCTGGCCACACAGTGGTCGCACGAGCCCACTGTTCCCCGTCCTTACCAGAGAAAGCAAAGGGTCCCTTGTGGAGCCAATCCTGCTTCTCAGATGCCCTGTGGTTTCGAGTTGACAGAACACAAATTGTGTGTCTAAGGCTAGGCTGCTGGATATTATCCACCTGCATTTCCGTTGCTGCTCTGGGCTCTTCATGAAGTTACATTTGGGAACGCTAGGCGTCTCCCGGATGTGCCAGGACCAGGCCTTCCCTGGCACTGGGCCACACTAGCAAGCTCCTTTCCTTCTCCTCTCACGTCCCAGCGTGTCTCCAAGCCGCTTGTTGAATCAGATTCCTTCCCGCATTTGGACTATTACTTTTTACTTGTAGTAACTGCTAAGGTGGCTACATTCGAATGGACATTTGAACTGCTTTGAAGACCTAGAAATGGTGGAAAATTGTTTTCGTACAGAGATTTACCTAACGACTCTGTCCGTGCTGTTTAGGTGGAACAACACTCCCATGGACGAAGCGCTGCACTTTGGACACCACGATGTGTTTAAAATCCTCCAGGAATACCAAGTCCAGTACACACCTCAAGGAGATTCCGACAATGGAAAGGAAAACCAAACCGTCCATAAGAACCTCGATGGCTTGTTATAATGGTCTTACATCCCAAGATTGAAATCACTTACCTATTTAATTGTGGAAAATAATTATGAAGAACGTGTGTATTTCTATCTGGTAGTGATGCATATTTTACAACCTTTGTCATTTCAGTGTTATTGGAGTTTTCTTCATTGTGCGCACAGGACAAATCTGATCTCTTGGGAAAAATAGAAATAAAACAATCTCCCTCCATAATGTGAGCAATATTTACCTCGTGCATTGTAAAATTTGATGTAAAAGAAATAGTTACCAATGCTAGCTTAACTTTGTGGTCTTCATGATTTGTGTGTTTTGTGAATTTTCGACTCATGGTGAAGATGTGCTGAAATGCATCTAGAAAGTAAGCTCTGTTGTACAGTCTGTCCAAACGGTCAAGGCTGTTTTTAGAAGCAAACTGTGTGATTTTCAAGACTTTAGATTTTGTTTGAGTGTTTGAACAACTAAGATGCACTTAGGGTGTATGTTTAAAATGTCTCCCATCACCCAAGCTTCACGGTGTGACTCTTTAAAAATTTTAATAGTTAACAACTGTTAGTAGGATAGACTGAATCTGTTTAGACATTATCAGGGAATCTGTATAAAATATGTTTGGTGACCAAAACCTATGTGTGAATGTAGCAGTGATGATACTTTTGAAAAAACATTTCCTTTTTCTATATCCCCTTAGTCCAGCCTCTCTTCTCAGACATTAGTATCTGCCTCTTCCCTTTGGCTGGGAGAGTGAGTGCTGGCACACTATGCAGTTTTCATGTTTTCCACGGTGAGTCAGAACATGCCTCATATTTCTGGCATCAGAGCTAGAATGTTGCCATTTGTCTACAGAGGATGAACCAGAGACAAGATTACTAAGTATAAATTAGTCCAATTCATCAGTTTAGAAAATGAAGGGATGTGCTACTGTCACTCCTTCATGTATTCTTCAGTGTCTAGGAAAAAGACACATTTAGAAATGCTCTAAGCTACCAAAGCTATTCTGATGGTGTGAGAACTGCTAAAGTAACACCAGTTTTTAAAGCTGTCCTTCAAACTCTGCGTTGAGATACTGGTCCTCTTCGGGGGGGACCGCTGGGTCACTCCAGATTTCTTCTGATTCTCTGTGCTACCTTTTTTGGTGGCCTCTCTATCCAGTTTAAAAGAAAGGCCACTTTGAATTGAGACCCATCATTTCTTGGTCTCGGGGAGGGAACTCACAATTGATTTGGAAGGTAGGTAAAAGGGGCTTCAAGATGGAATGAGCAGAATTTTCCAGGAGTTGCACATACATTTTGTCCTATCTCACTTCAAAGGATGGAGGGTATGTGAGGGAGGGTTTCTGATACTAAGCACACGTGCGTGCGCATGCACACGCGCTCACACCCACACATGGACTTCTGTGACGCTGTGTCCAGTGAATGCGCAGGACGGACTTCAGGAATGCGAGTCATTCCTGGATGGAATGACAGGGCAGTTTTTCTTTCCTCTTTCCCCTCTCAGCACACACTGCTGCTTCCAAGCTTTATTTTGCCTGTTGGCACCTCCCTCGCGCAGCCTCTGGGGGTTTGGTTTTGGCTGTCAGTCAGCCACTGCTCCCCAGGACCTGGACAGCACTCCCTTTGAGGAAGCCATGGCTGCTGTTCCATAGCTACCCCAGGCCCGCTCGCTCTGGCTTCTGTCGAGGATGGGGCTGGGCAACCGGCCCGGCTGCTGCACTCCTGCCCCTTAGGTCTGAGGTCTACCAAGCTGCCCAGACAGGCGGTGTCTGCAAGACGCTGCCCAGGAGAGCATCACCCCCAAAGATGCTGTGGGAGGAGGGACACACTTTAACTGCCATGAGCTGAGCTAGCTTTGCTGCACTGTGTGATAACATGCAACACAAGGACAGCTCAGGTATGTGGCTTGAAGACTTTTCTCCAATAAACAGAGCTTCTATTACTTGGGAAGAGAGGGAGAGTTTGCATCTTTTCTCAGCTCCAGGCTGTTTTGTCAAATCTCTGTGGTTTAGTTAACTGTGCCCTGAGTTGCACCTGATGTTATGACTATGCACCGGCTCCTGCTCTGCTGTTTGCTCTGGCCGGTAATAATGAGTACACGTGGTTTAAAAGCTTGTTGACTGTGCTGCAAAATTGCTACTATCAGTAAACTCCAAAGATCTTTTGGTTCTGGCTTTAGGGTCACATCTGCTTTTCTGTATCACAAGAGCACTATTTGGTCATGTTCATATTTAAAGATTCATGTACACTGTTTTTCTCGCTGGTCTCATCTTCGGTAATGGCTGAACCCTGCTGCAGCCACACAGCCCGTTAGCTGCATCGCTGCATTCGCTAGGGACCACTCGATGCTGTTTTCTGCCTGGCAGGGACTGAATGACCTGATGTTGGATTTAGATTCTTCCTGGGGAGTACACAGCTATGAATGTATTTGCTTCCAATATCTCCCAAAGTGAATCTAATATTAAAATCCGTAAGTTGTAAGTATTCTGAAACTGGGAAACATTTATTTTAAATGAAATCAGGTAGTGTTGCTTTTTACAGCGTAATAAATACATGTATAAACAAAACTGTGTGAAAAATGAATTTTCTTAAAACAACCAAGGTCTTCTCCTCAGCCCGGGGCTGGCCACCCTGACTTGTTCAGTTGGTTCAGATCCACTGGGAATGCCCAGGGTGAGCCAGGCACTGCGTAGGGTGTCAGGATCAGCAGGAGAGGCCCTAAGGGGCTCACCCTTGAGGGTGGGGTGGGCAGGCATGTTTCTGGCGCTCTAGAAGCTAACATTGTCCTTTCACAGTTACGAAAGGCTCAGTAAGTAAGTATTGATGAACATTAAAACACAGCCTTCCAGGACAGGGAAGTTTGTCTTCACAAAGCCTTGACATCTATTGGGAGAGATGAACACAGCCCTGCCATCCTAGGCTCTAAGCTGGACCAACCAGCAACCCTCAGCTCCCAGTATAATTCATTCCATGTAGGAATGGCATTAGTTCCAACCCAGGAACCCCGCCCCGGTCAGAGCACTCCTTCCTTCCAGGGTTAGGGTCAGCGTTTGGTGTCGAGCCACAGGAGAAGGTTGAACACCATGGCTGTCACATTTTCATCTACTGAAGTGCTTTGTCTGAAACTAAGTTCTCTGCTACAGGAGTCACAGTGTCCTGTCACCTGCATTACTCATATTTTAGAGCTGGGAGGGACATCAGCAGTTTGTTAACGTAACCTATTCAAAAACACATCAAGTCCACGCCCACGAGTGGGCTAGGATACTTAACTCTTAGTCTCATGCTGCTTCCCCACACATCTTACAACACTGATTCTGCCCACAGTGGATAGAAAGTGGGTATTAGCTTATTCATATTAACTCACTCGTATTAGTAAGGGCCTTTCTCCCACTGAGCTTTAAGAAGACACACAAATGTCACATGTTACCTCCTGCAGCTATGGATACGTGTATCCACAGAGAGAAGTTAGTGCAAGGGCAACAAATGTGTGGAGAATCCAAAGAATGAAAAGTTACACTTGTTGTTGATACAAGATCATTTCACTGTTGTGGGACTTTTTCTTCAAAGGTAATCTGCCCACTTTTGCTGCTGCTCCTCACAGGTGAAAGGAGCGAATCCGAAGCTGCAGGCCAGACGGCTTAGGGAGGCAGCCTTTGGATGTGTTAAGGTGGCACTTGCAGAAGAGGTTTTGGGGAATTGAAGTGCGGACGGGATGTGTGTTTCTAGGTTGTAGAAGGTACATGTGTTTGGGGGTGGGAAAGACTGGAAGACTAAGCAGAGATGGAGGGTTTTATTTCTGTTCTGGATTCTGAACCTAACTCCTGGCCTCTGTCCGCCTAGCCTTCCTTCACTGGAGTCTTGACAAGCTGTGGGAACAGCAAAGGATGATCAAGATTGTTTCATTCATGTATAAGAAATGGAGAGGGGCTGCCAGTAGATGCCAGCAGGCACTGAAGTGTTAGGTTGACATTATGAAATGTTACAGAAGAACTTGCACAGTCTGAGGAACGCTTTGTAGCTTTCTGCCTTCTAGGTAACTTGATGCTCTTTGTATGCCCAGCTAAACTTTAATAAATAAGTTTACAACTACTTAAATATGTTTTTTTTTTTTTCACAACAAATCAAGTATGGTGTTAATTTCTCAGCAAGTCTTGCAAACACAAAAACCTGAAGTTGGTTCACCGAAACTTGAAGCTGAATATTACTGAGTCAGTATCCTTTAAAAGCTGCAAACTCAGAAGACCCTAAAAACAGGTTATCCTTCCTAAAACTGGCTTAAGTGTCGTTTGTTTGCTTCAACACTTACATTATTGGTAGCTCTTGACTACATGTGTGACAAAATCTTTCGTGTTAATGAGTTCAGTGACTGTATTTAAAATACGGCCTTGTATCCCAGAGCACCTTAAGTTCCAGCAGAGCAGGCCTCTTTGTTCTTGTTTGCCAGTGTTGCCCAAACCTCTAGGACAGAGCCTGGCTCATGGCAGGGGCACCAACATACACCTAACAAATTAAGAAGTGAATGAATCTTCACCTAAAGAATCCATGAATCCACTCAAGTAAATACCCCTTACTTGGGGAACAGCACCGCAGTCCAAAAGGCAGATGGACCAGTTCTCAGACTGCTTTCTGGTGTGTCCTTTCCCGGGGATAGTCGGGTGGGACAGGGGACCGCTTTGTTCATCAGGACTTGCCCTCATGTTCTGTGGCTCTCAGGCAATCAATAGGTTTTACTCATTTAATGCTGTCTCAGAAAACTGTCCTTAGGAATGAGACGTTTGTTCCAAGTGGTATGTATTTAAACTCTGTGCTTATCTGACACACTTCAAGCCTACCAACACCACCCAGAAATATACTCAAACAGGCAAAAGCATCCCTTGGCCACGGTCTACTCGGTGACTTCATATCATGGTCAATTTTGTGAGAACGCAAACCTCCACTAGCCAGTGCACCTCCGCTGTACTCCCTGGAGAGACCTGGCTCTCGGTGTTGTTAGGCAGAAACTTCCATTTCTCCGACACACATGCTGCCGGTGTGCAGACGAGGAGGCCTGCATTTGTTCTGAGGCCAGCAGGCAGCCTGTGTCCCTAGGAACTGGACTGAACTTGCCAGGTTACACCTGACGCTGATCATGTCTCGCTGTAGACTAACTTTCCCCCAGCCCAGAGTGCAGTTCCCTCTGAAAGGGCGTGGCTTTCTAGCCTTGAATGCCACACACCGAGAAAATAATGGTCCTCAGTAGTAACCTCCTAGCAGTGACTCATCCACCGCTGGCCACGTGGGGTGGAAACAGACAGTCCCGTTTCACATGTGTTTTAAAAACGAAAACTCTTAATTTGGGTATTAGCATTACCCAAGACCCTTTTGGAGGCAGCTGTGGTTTTCTGGTCTGCTGTTTAACAGCACCTACTAGAGCTTTTTCGTTGTTTCTCCTCTGACCTCTTCCACTGACCTATCTTAATCTGCACAGCAGTTCTAAGTAGGGGACATGAGGGCAACATTTGGGAAAACAGTGGTATTAATCTTGACAATAAAGACACCTATGTAAATGAGATATATATTAAACCAATTCATGATGCCAGTAACTTCTAAAATCTTTACACTATGATGAGACTAGTACTAGAATTTTAATACTTCTTAAAAGTAAAGTTTTGGGGCCAGTGCTGTGGTACAGCGGGTTAAAGCTCCGGCCTGCAGCACCGGCATCCCATATGGGTACCTGTTCAAGTCCCAACTGCTCTACTTCTGATCCAGCTTCCTGCTAATGTGCCTGGGAAAGCAGTGGAGGATGGCCCAAGTCCTTGGGTCCCTGTATTCATGTGGGTGACCCAGAGGAATCTCTTGGCTCCTGGATCCAGATGGGTTCAGCTCTGGCCATTGCGGCCATTTGGGGAGTGAACCAGCAGATGGAAGCCCCCACCCTCCCCACCCCGTTTCTGTCTCTACCTCTCTGTATAACACTTTCAAATAAATCTTTAAAAAAAAAAAGTCTTTTGGCTAGTACAATAAATGAAAGCATGCCAACTCATTCTCAAAGGGCAAAAGTACAATATTTAAACCCCAGCAACCACAAACAATATTTCTAATGCTGTCCTGTTTCTTGATCATTTCCATTTAAAGAGTCAACCAAAACTCAGTTAGGCTCTCACTACCTTATGTAAGAAGGAGAGGTGGCCTCCATATGCACGCAGCACCAAGAAAAAGCACTGTGTTCATATTACTTTTTAATGCAATACATATACTTTAGCTTTAATATTAAAATAAATTTTAAGAAATCTTTTCTCTCCACCCAAGAGATGCACAGCACTTACAAAGCAAGGTGGGTGTGGCGGCAAAGGTGGAGGAACAAGACACAGCCACACAGACAGCAGGCTGTGGGTTCTGTGGACGACCCCTGTCCTACCCCCCACCCTGAGCCTCTTTCTTGTGTCAGTGTTAATGAAGGCAGAAGGTCAAAAGCACAACACATGAACATTCATTCAGAAAAGTTCTGGAAAAAGCACAGGAGAGATCATGGAACCATTGGCAAATGTGATTGTCAGAAAACACATTTATCACTGAAAAACTGGCAGTTCTCAGTGCAGTTACATCAGGTGTGAGGTTTGAAATTCTTCTAGCTAGTGGTTCCAGACGTCAGTTACTACTCTTCCTACTCCTTCTTTCCAAATGTTATGGGTAATGGAATAAATACCAGCTTATAACAATGAAGACACATTAACCCATTTAAGAAATATCACCTGAAAGTCTGTTTTGATTAATTTTGGATTTTTTAAAATGGTGATCTGCCTTGAGAGAGTGGCAAAGATGATTTCATTGACGACCACGATGAAAGCAGAATACATTCAGGTTTGGATACGGAAACACTACCTGGGACGTTATACTTCGGCTATTGCTATTAGCCAGTATCTTTCAGCCATAACAAACAGAACAGCCGATTCTCTCAGGAGTGACAAGACTGGCCTCTGGTTGTAAATGGCCAGTGTGAGAGACGTAAAGAAATAAGGAACGTTTTCCCCTACCCAGCGGCAGGATGGCCAGCTCTGATAGAGCATGCATATGACTGTATACACATTTGGCTTTGAACCGTTTCATAAGTAAACCAGTGGAAAACTTCCAGACATACTTAAAGCAGAGCAAACATGTAAGAATTCTCCAGGACAGAATCCATCATTCCTTTATCAAGAAGTTCTCCAAGTAATGGCTGATTTACCCAACAACTGGTGGCATCTGGTACTGACCTTATGCGTGACATTTGCTGGGTGCTGCTAAACCTTTCATCTTTCCCAAAGGACTCTCATTCTGGTCCTGATGCTTTGGGTGGATCAAAAATGACTTTTTATTTGCAAAACCCAGAGAGTAGTTTTCAATTTTACCTTCAGTAAGACGCATGAAGCCCTTCAGAGTAACACGTTTCTGAATTAGAGAACTGTCCATTTGCTATCAACTCGTTGCAGCCAGCTTGCTGGACCTTTGTTCATTCTCCTAGAAACACAGGATGTGAAGAAACACAGCAGCAGCAGGGAGTTTCCCACGGGAAGTGAAACTGTTGCCAAAGACGAGACAAATTCATGCTCTATACTGCGTTCATCTGTAAAAAGATAAAAGGCGGTTACATGTACTGCACTGCTCCTGTGAAATGCACACTCAAGTATTTAACAGCACTAGACATTTCTAACAGCAATGAACCACCATGGGCCATGGTATTAGCGGGCCTTCAGCACGCACGCCGCGTTTTCCTGGACTAATCAAGACCTTTTATATCACCTAAGCTGATGGATTACTACTCTACAACCTGCCCGGCTTAATTTCATGAATCCATCCAGGCTGCATAAAGCTTTTTGCTGTTATGCAAGTCTAGGGACCGAGCAACAGCAAATCCGCTCATGCAAAACGAGGCTGCGGCTGCGCTCAGCTCTAGGCCAGACGGGAGGGAAATGATCAACTTCCCTTAGAGGTCACTCAGGAGGTCAGATAACCGACCACGTAACGTTACAGGCTCCAGAAGCAGGATTATATAAAGAACCCCTGCACCTCTCCCACCACTGCCTTCTGGCCAGCTGTCCAAAACAGGGCAACCTGTGATCAGTGCATTCCTCATCAAAGAGCACCAGCCTGTCACCGACTTCCGGTCTGAATCCCACACTGGCTTTCCCCCTCAGATCCCGCGTTCACGGTGGAGAACGATTCTGTCTGTGCCTGGCAACGTCTGAAGCTGTTTGTGACTGTCACGACTGGGGATGGAGGCGGACATGCTGACAGCTGCTGGGCGCGGGCCAGGGATGCTGCCCAACACCCTGCGATGCACAGGACAGCCCCCACCACAGAGACTTCTCCAGCCCCAAAGAACGGCCCTCCCAGGCCCGAGACACATGGCAGCAGACTGTAAAGCCTCTTGCGAGCTTTGTTTAATCCCAAGCACTCAACAGTGCAGGCTACATGGGAGGATTTTAGGAGAATTATTTGGGATTGAAAAGCATGATGAAGTGTTCCCCTCCATGTCCCCGTCTGGATGTGACGGTGCAAATATGCAGCCGAGATGGTAGACTCTGGGGGCACGCCTGGCCTCAGAGCTCGTCACTGTGTGACCAGGGCACATTACTTCACCTCTCTAAAATCACAAGGCCCTCGTTTGTCAAAAGGAGGCCAACAGTACCTAGCAGATAGGTTTGTTTTACCTATTACATGAGGTCGCATATACACAATGTTCTAAGTAGCAGGTAAGTAATAAATCATCTTTTTGTTATTGTTAGCGGCTCTGGCCCAAGAGTTCTAGGGCAGAAGCCTGGTTCAGAGGGAAAAGTTTATTGTGCAAGAATCAGAGGTTTGCAGAAAATATGAGTGCTCTAATTCTCTTGGGTACCTTCCTTAGGAGTCTGGTCCCCGAGCCCACTCCAGCCCAGAGCTGCAACCTGCAGACTTGGGGGGAACTGGCCAGCTCTGGGACAGCTGGCCTCTTTCAGAGCACACGCCCTAATCCCAAGAGTGGATGCTGAATGGAAATCAAGGCTACGGCTGAGGACAGAGCAAACCATGGTGGCATCAACCCAATTTAGAGATTAATCCACCTCGTACTTTATCTAACCAGAGCCATG